AGACCTTGAGTCATGGGATTCTGGGAGAGTATGGACGCTGAAGGCAGGGACATCCTGGGATGACAGGATTCGAGAGGGCGTGAACCTGAGAGCTGGAGACTCAGAAGACCCCAGAAGACTCAGGCCCGAGAACTCACCTTCAGGATCACCCACTGCATGAGGCCCAGATAGTACAGAACCGACATAACACAGCTGAAGAAAACAATGATGGGCAAAACCTGCAGGGAAACAGAGGATCTCGGGTAAGAGGTGCAGGCCAGGGCTGGGCTGTGGGGTTGTGGGGGGGCGGCTCTGCCCACCTGTTTCTTGGGATTGTCATGAAGGGTAAAGGAGCAGGCTCAGGTCTAGCACCCCGATGGACTCTTCTACTTCTTCATAAGCTCAGTTCTGGTCTATGGCTCTGGCCTGGTTGGGCCCCCTGCACTCTGGGCCCGAGTGAGGCAACTCTCCTCATTGTGGCTTTCTGCTTCTGTTCAGGGCCATCAAGCTTGGAGCAGAGTTATCCTGGCCCTGCCATTAGCATCTCATCCTGTCACCCTGCTTCTTCTTCAACCATGCCGGGACCCTCACATCCATTCACCCTGCTTCCTCTTCAAGCATGCCGGGACCCTCACATCCATTCCTTCCCTTCCAGACCCACAGCCCCACCCCGGGGCTTTCTCCCTACAGCTCTTTTATTTATTTATTTTTAAAGATTTATTTTATTGTTTTAATTATATGTAGATGGAGGGGCATGGTACGCGCACATGCGAGCAGGTGCCTACAGAAGCCAAAAGAGGGCATCCGGTGCCCCGGGGCTGGAGATGGTTGTGCAATGCCCGGCACAGGTGCTGGGAACCGAACTCAGGTCTTCTGCAGGAACAGAGCACACTGTGCACTGCCGAGTCCATCTCCCCCCGCCCCAACTTCGGCTCATTTGTGGTAGCAGAACTTGCGTGTCTTCTGACAGAGGGCTGATTTAGTAGCCCACAGCATGGCCACATGCTGTGAACTAAATGTCAGGAAATGAGAACAAGAAAGCTCTTGGAGTCTCTGGAGAAGCTTACACACGCGTCTTGAGTGTGTGCCCTTCTCCTAAGCCCTTCTTGCTCCCTCAATGCTCCTGCTAAAAATAAAACGAGAGAATAGGAGAGTAAGGGAAAGCTCCCTGTGGGGACTTGTGAGAGGATTCTCCAGGCAGGCTATCAAGCTGGTTGTGGTGGCACACGCCTTGAATCCCAGTGCTGGGAGGTAGGGGCAGGAGGATCACTGTGAGTTCAAGGCCAGCTTGGTCTTCAAAGCAAGTCCCAGGACAGTCAGGACTGCACAGAGAAATCCTGTCTCAAAAAACCAGAACCAGGCTATTAAATGAGAAAAGGAGAGACTTACAATTGGCACATAATGTGTACATGAGGGAAAGGCAAGAAGTTCGTGTGGACATGGGACATCATCCAAAGGGTTTGCAAGTGACCAGTGACAATGGACGTCTGAAAGCAAGTGGCTGAGGCCCAGGGCTGGGGGGACATGTGCCTCTTAGGTCCTTCTTCTCATTGGAGTATTTCTCATCTGTGTATTTCTTTTTCAAATAGTTCAAAAGTCCTACAGAGTTGCTAATAATAAGGTAATTTTAATTCTCTATCATTAAAAAGTGGGAAAGTTTCGATGGTGGTGCATGCCTTTAATCCCAGCACTCAGGAGGCAGAAGCAGACAAATCTCTGAGTTCGAGGCCAGCCTGGTCTACAGAGCGAGTTCCAGGACAGCCAGGGCTGCACAGAGAAACCCTGCCTCAAAAAACAAAACAAAACAAAAAGTGGGGAAGCTGGAATATTAAAACATGGAAAGGAGCCAGCAAGCCGGTTCAGCAGGTAAGGGTGCTTGTCACCAAGCCTGGCCACCTGAGCTGCGTCCCTGGGACCCACACGGTAGAAGGGAGAATCAACACATTGTTTTCTGACTTCAACACTGGTACTGTGGCATGTGTGCACCTGTTCTCACACAGCCACCCACCCACACACACACACACACTGAATCAATCTTTTTAAAAAGAAAAAAAATAAAATAAAAGGCACTACTCCCAAACGAACACTTACTGCCCTGGGTGCCAGAGCCATCAGGAATTTCATTCTCTTTTTAATTTCTGAATTTCCCATCTGTTCCTATAATTTTTTTCTTCCTTTTCATTTTGTGGGTGCTGAGGACCCAGCCCAGGGCTTTATGCATGCTCTGCCATATGTTCAGTCCCTGGCCTGAGTTCCTGTAACTTTCTCTAATGGCAGACATGTTTCAAGGAGGGCACAAAGGTAGAGGAGAGCCGTGGGATCATCAATTTAGTTTTGAACTTGGTGGATTAGAGGTCCATAGAATCTCCGAGTGGAATATTCCACTGGATAAAAGCATCCTGGGCCTGAGTGGGAACACTGGATAGGGACTGTGTTGTGAAATAGTACTTTAACTAGGCAAAGATGTGTTACATTTCTTTATGCTGTGGAAAGGTGTGTTGCATTTGTCTATGCTGCATTTGTTTAATGGTGTAAGGATGTGTGTTTAATTATGCAAAGATGTGCTGCATTTGTTTCACCTTGCCTGCCTAAGGCACCTGATTGGTCCAATAAAGAGCTCTTGGTCCAATAGCTAGGCAGGAGAGGGACAGGCTGGGCTGGTGGGCAGAGAGAATAAATAGGAGGAAGACTCCAGAAAGAAGAACAAGAGGAAGAAGAGAGGAGAGAATGAGGGAGATGCCTGGGGCTGGAAGCCAGGCAGTTGCCAGCCAGCCAGAGAGCCAGCAGGAAAGTGGGACATACAGAAAGAAAAGGTAAAAGGCCCTGAGGCATAACACAGAGAGGGAGAAAGAGGTGAAGTGAAAAGAGCTAGCTAGAAACAAGCCTAAGCTAGGCTGAGCACTCACAACTAATAAGAAGTCTCCATGTCGTGATTTAGAAGCTGGTGGGTGGCCCAAAAGAAAAAGCCTGCTACAGGACTGGATTTGGGACTTGATCCGAAAGAAATGCAGCTGAGGCCTTCAAGATGGCTGAGCAGGCAAAGGCTTGCCATCAAGCCTGATAACCTGAGATCTACCCTTGAGAGTCACACGGCAGGAGAGAACTGACTGTCCCAAGTTGTCCTCTGACTTCCACATACACATGTGGCACACACACATGCACCACCACTCCACACACACACACACACACACACACACACACACACACACACACACTCAATTAATCAATTAAAAGTTATTTTAAAAGAAAGAAAAGATGATGAGGTCAGCCGAAGCAACAGAACAAATACCACTCACAGAACTGCTCAAGTGTGCGGAGCAGGACCCTGGAGTCTGCGTCGCTAAGGTGAGAGGAAGCGAGAGAGTCCAGAAGGAGCCTGAGGACAGCCCGAGTTAGAGTGGCCAAAAGCAGACATGGCCAGTCAGCTATGAGGGGGCCCCAGCACTCTGGCAAGATGCGGGGGGCTTGAGACAGACTGGGGAACTGTGTGAGCCGCGTCAGAGAGGATGTGGACACAGACCAGAAGCCACTGGGAAGGGACAAGAGGCCCGGGGATGGCCAGGACAGGCAGCATTTCCAGAAGGCCAGGCTGGCAGGGAAGGCTGGAGAGCAGGAGCGGGTGATTTGTGTTTTGAAAAGGGAGAGTCTTGCACACTCTCTCAAAACAAGCAGATGGTCGTAGGTGGCAGCAAAGATCTGCTCCCCCAACCCGGCTGGGGATGAGAGAGGGGTCTGGCTGAAGGTTCCCCTCCCCTCCCCAACCAACACCCCCGACCTTCTCTGGACTTGTTCCATTCCACCCCTACCACTGGGGCATGCCTGCTGCTGGGTTGTCACACAACAGGTACTTTAGATACCGGCTTCAGAAACCCTATTCCTGCCCTGTAACTCCTCCTTTCCCATGCATGGAGCTGGAACTACTATCCACAGCCCAGGGTGGTGACATCATTCTGCTCTCCCAGGAGCCAGAGCTGTGTACTGTCTAGTCAGCTGGTGTGATTGATCATGTGAGGGGCTCCAGGGCAACCGGCTGGCTACAGCCCCAGGCTCAAGCCAGGAAAATACATCCAGGATTGCAGGTGGGGGCTGTTGGTGACAGGGAGGCTGCGTTTGGGGTGATGTGGTGAAGAGGGGGTGGCCGTTGGGTAGCTTAGTGATGAAGCGTTTCCTAGCATTTGAGGCCCTGCTTGGAGGCCAAGGAGCCCCCACACCGGAAATAATAGAAGAAAAGCTCGGTGGGGAGGGGAGGGGAGGGGAAGGGAAGGGAGGGAAGGGAAGGGAAAAGTTTTCTAAGGTAGGATATGTAATAATGTCCCTGTGGCCAGGATGATCTCACAAAACCACCTTTGGACTGACAGTGCCTAGGATGGCAGACACAAGGTAGGTAACACCAGGCAATGGCACTGAGGAAGGATGAAGGAAGTACTATTAGCTCCTACTATGTCCTGGTGGGAAGTTCTCCTATGAGCCAGGTACCCATTGATATGTGGTGGCTCACTGAGCCTCAAAGCAATTGAGATGTTGGTGATCATCTCCACCTGACCAATGTCTACACCGAGGCTCTGAGGTGTTGGCTGCCTGTCCAAGGTCACACAATGGAGGATGGGCAGAAACCTCCTAGCTGCCAGGAAGGTTGCCAAAGTCCTGCAGGGCTGAGGCATTTGCCCTGGGGGAAGTTTGCTCCTCTGTGTCCCTGCAATGGGCTGAGTCTCCCAGATTCACACGATAAAACCAAAGCTGGGAGACAGGATTAGAAGGGCCAAGGAGGTGATTGGGTCACAGAGTGTAGCCCTCATGAATGAAGTCAGCTCCCCTTACACAAGAGCTCTCCCCCACTTCTTCCCCCCCCCCCCCCCCCCCCCCCCCCCCGTGGTCTTCCACCACGTGACGATTATGAGCAGGAAGAGCGAGTCCTCATCAGAATGTGGCCATGGGGGCGCTCTGGAACCTTCAGGAATGAATTCTTGTTTGTGAGCCAGCACGCTATGGTTTTTCATCAGAGCATCCCGTACTCTGAGGACCATTGCTCCAGAGTCTCCACTGTACCACACCCTTGGAACAAACTTCATCCTGCCTGGAAATCAAACCTGTTCAAACTGGCTCTCTTTCCTCGGCCATCCCATGTCCTTCCTCTCAACCCTTCCCACTCAGTCCGGGCTCCCTTCCCACCCCTTCTCTGAAAATAATACTGTTTACCTGAGGGGATTAGAGTCGGCCTCAGGCAGACTCCCTCAGACTC